CTTCAAATATTTTAAAAGCCGTTTATCTTGCATAACGTTATGGAATTCGACTCTTCTATGATATCTGTTGTACAGAGGCTGTTCACACATTTTTTAGACGATGTATATTGTATTCACAAAACTAAATTACATAAAATTCTTGTGTTTTAAATGTTCTATTTGACATCCCTTATTCTGAACTATCTATCGACACCGTAATTTCCAGGATAATAATGCCTTTTGAATACAGAAGAGATATTCTATCCCATTCTCCCGAACAGCTTTCCAGAGTCCTGTTAGGGTTTTGGGACAACGTTTGGAAATGCAGTTTTTAAAGTCCGAAAAGCACAAAAATTCATAGATGACACATCGGGAGATTTAGTAGGGATATCAGTGAGGGGTATGGCCTTGATACCAGTTTTTTGTTCCATTTCTTTTAGGAAATTTACAGTGGATTTTGATGTGTGACTGCTAGCTTTGTCCTGATGGAGTCTCACAGATTGATGGCTTTGTGGGTAAAGCGCTGGTATTTCATTCAGAAAAATTGGCGATAAAATATGTTCCTGATAGTATTTGGAGTCAATCTTGACATTTTTTTGCACTCTCTTTATTTTTAACTTGTCATTATAAGAAAAATCAGCAACAATCATGAATCCATTAGAAAAACTTTCTTTCGATTCTTTGAACCATGTACTTAAATTTTTTCTCCCCTTTTATGGTAATAAATGGCTCTTTTTTTGTTACAATCATTTAAATACACTCATGCTTAATCTATTGTGACAATTGTTTTCCATTTTTCTTTGGATAAGTGTTTCTCATATAGAATTCTGCGGCCTATCCTGCGTTGAGCGATATGCTTTGGAAGAAGACGATGCACATTGCGTTTTTTTTGTTTGTTAGATTTTAAATCAACGGTTATCATTTTGTTTACAGTGGAAACCGAACATTTTAATGATTTTGCAACTGTCCTTTGACTAGGGGGATTTTATTTTAACATTAAACAACGTACCTTTGCAATAGTCGAAGATGTCTGTTTTTTCCTTGGATGCTTGTTTGGAATTTTTGTACCACTTGAGGCTCCAATTTGGCGTTTTTTTCCTTTCCTGTCGATGATATTACCTATCGACGCTTTAGATATCACAAAACCATGACTCTCACATCGTTTCTGGATAACGGAGTATGCATATTTCTCTTCGGAAAGAGCGTAAATGTAGCCTTCGAACCACTGCTTTGTTAAATTCGCCATTTTGAATAAAAATAAACCTTTCATGCCACAGACGATAATTTTGACTTTTAAAAACATAGTACAATTGCAATTACTTCTTTTGCAGCAAACGAATTTTTATTACCGCTTACCAAAGTCGTCTAAAAAATGTGCGAACAGTCTCTGTATTCAACTTATATTTTTAATCTTCACTGTATATTTAAAAACTGTACAAATGAATTATGAAATTAAAACAACCTTATATAATGAGATACAGTAAGACCCCGCTTAACGCGGGGGATACGTTCCATCAAAGTAGAGCGTAATGCGAAACAGCGCTAAACGAGGCTATCTTTACATGCAAATATTGGGGTTAGGGGAAGATGGCTAGGAAATTGGTTAGGTATTAAATTTTAAAAAGTATGTTTTTTTAATAAAAATAAAAACCAAACGTTTTATTTCTTAAAGCCCAAATTAATACCAATTATTATTTCTTGCAAAAATAAAAACAAAATATAAATAACAAAACGAATATTCTTAAAAAAACAAATAAAAATTCTCAGTGAGTCATATTTAGTTAGCCTTCCGCGTTTTCAGTGTTCTGCCTTTTTGTGACAAAAGCATCTAATGTTGTTTGCCTTTTTCTTTTGCGTTATTCTTTTAAAAGTTCTTCATAAACGGATAGAGCATCTCTAACACCACGCCTTACTTTTGAGCTCCTGTCAAAATTCGGATCATTTTCAATGAATTGATCCATTATTTCAGTTATGGTAGACAAACTCCTTTTTAAAAACGCCATCGAAAGTTCTTTTTGCTCTTCCGAATCACTTCTGTCAACATTTCTGTTTTCTTCTTGTTCAGATAATTCCTTGAGCTCATCATTAGAAAGACTAGCCGCTGCTTCTTGAATTATTTCTTCGACATCTTCCACATTTACCCCTTCAAAATATGTCTGTACAATACCGCACCAAACAAGAAATACAAGTACACTCTTTCGGATATGTATTTGAAACCTATCGCTGCATAATATTTCGGGGAATCCCCGTATGCTGCGAGCGATTTCGTGGAATCCCCGGGTTGAAATAAAAGAGCGCTAAACCGAAACAGCGCTAAACGAAACAGCGTTAAGCGGGGTCTTACTGTATTCTACATTTCACCATTAAGCCAATATATTGGAATAATTTGCCTTTATATTTCAAACTTTTATGAGGTAGTGTTGGTACCTATCCATTCATCGAGTTACGATAATATATTGGTATATCCAATCTATTACATATATATTATATATACATAGAATATAAATAATCCATATTATAATCGAAAATAATGAGTTATAAATTACGTATATACCTCTTTATGTACTATGTATGTTATGTATTGTTAGTACATTGTGCACCAGCTGTAAAATGTCTAAACACTCGGAGTTCGACCTGGCTTTACATCCCAGTGAACTGTCTGGTTGTAAGGGATTTTCGCGGATTGCCCTATGTGTAACCTGAATACGAGTTGGCTTCATTTAAGAAGTCTTCCAGTAAGACATTCAATTCGTTCAGGGAATCAGCTCTGGAGTGCCTTATCACAATCTAGATAATCTAGTCCAGTGATTAGCATACCACTCTTGGAACTGATTTAGCTATGTCGCATTTAAAGGGAAGAGCTGTTAAATAGAAGCAAAGCAGTTCAATGGATCTTCAATTAAATTCAAAATTTTAAATTAAATCCAAAAATAAAAAATTTCTTTCTTTCTGTAGATTAAATTTTGAATTTAATCTACAGAAAGAAAGAAATTTTTTATTTAAATGCTCATCATTTTACTCCGTTTTAAAACAGCCAACGATTAGAATTCGTCTGCGTGTAGAATTATAAATTGAGAGAGTTTGTCAAAGTTTGAAGGGCGAATTCGCTTTCTCTTCCATTTTACACCACAGTAAAATTTTATCTTTCGCAGAAAAAAAAAAAAAAAAAAAGTAAAGTTCCTGGGTATTCCTTTATATCGGCAAAAGAAAACATTTTATAAAAAAACAGCTTTCATCTTTGCGGGAAATTTCTCATATTCTCAAATATTATATTCATTATGCCTTAAATTAAATGCAAAAATTTTCTTTATTTTTATGTGTGGAATTAATATGCACAATTAGTTTCTAAGGAAACAAGTACGAATTTCGCAAGCGAATTCTACGGAACCGAGTACGAATTTCGAATTCAGCAATTCGATGCTGAGAATTCTCCAGCACTTCGAATGCAATTTTCAAAGTGCTTCACATAACCATAAGTAATAACCGAAATATATTCATTCCATGTATTGTTATGAGCTTAGGAAAGCTCAAGACATCAGTCAAGCAGCATGTATTAGCAACTACTTGTACTTTTAATATGGAATTTGATATAGTATGCGTGTAATATTCATATCCATTTGGATGCAAGTGTGAGTATTTCCACTTACACATAACTTCTACGCAAGAAGAAAGTTCTTTTATCTTTACATAAAGGTCGTTTTAGGACACGTGTCTTTTTTCCACTGAATCTTACATTTGTAAAAATGTTGCTACATTAAAAAGGGTTAAGATATTTAATAACTTTACCAATCTTGCACCAATTAAGTAATTATTTATTTCTAAAGATTTATTCAGATTGCAGAGGGTTTTTAACATCTTCATTCTTATCAAGAACTGTAACAAAGCAGAACATAATAGTCCCCAAGTTGATTGATGCAAGAGTTCCAACTAATTTTAGCACTGAAATTCTAATTAAAAATTAGGGTCCACCAACGGCTGAGAGGTAAAGTCGCTGAACACTGGGAGTTCGGTTCAAGACTGGAATCCCGGGGAACGGGCTGACTGCAGGGCACCCTGGTGGGTTTCGCGATATGTAATGTGTATACGAGTCAGTTCCCTTTAGAAAGTCCTCCACGAAGGCATTCCTTCCCTTAGGGAGATAGCCCTCGAGTGCTTTCCCATAAACCATACTAAGCTTCTTAAAAATCAACGGCAAGTAAAATCTTCATTTGTCTGTTTATCTTCACAACTAACGTAAGTGTTGGAATTATTGATTTATGAACTTTTTTTAAGTTCGATAACTATAAGTTTATACCCCCCCGGGGGTCGACGTAGAGAACTCTGCGAAGTTGCTGGCTAGGATCTGTACCTATGTAGTCTCGGCCACGGGGTTTAAAATGTATGAACTTCGTGGTTCTGAAGGCCCCGGGAAAGGTCACTCATTGGCCGGTCTCGAAGTCTGGCATGTCCTGAGCGGTACGGCTCTGGTAGCCGGGTTTGCTGGGTAATGACTCACTGCGACGGGCTCGCCCAGTCGAATGGCAGATAGCAAATTAACGACCAGTGCTGTCTGGTGAATTCCAGGTGGTGCGCCACCCCTCTGAGTGGCCAGAGCGGAGGTTGAACCTCTGCGCCTGATCCTGAGAGGGAGTTGGATTTGTAGTGCGGACTTTCGTGGTCACGCGGGGTAGAGAAGTCTAGAGATTAATTAACTATAAATTTATATTTTGTTAATAAACTTCGATGTGTTTTATTATTAAACTGTACAGTTAAATAATTAGTTTGCACCAAATCAATTGTAGTTTTCTAACGCAATGTAAAATAAGGAAATTAAAGATTTAAAACGGCTATGTAAATAAGGAATGCTTATTTCGCAGTTTCTATTTCCCTAACATTTTTCAAAACTTTTTTTTTAAGAGAAGGTTGGGGGGAGATAGAGGATGAAAATATTAAAAATATTCTTCTTAAATCAACTCAGACTAAGATAAATATACAAAACCGCTGGCAGATGGCGCCACTAAACGTGAAGTGAAGGAACTTTGGACTGTTGATGAAAAAAGGAAAAAAACGCCCTACGTGAGATTCCAGGATTCGTGACCAACGACACGGCGGAAATATGGAAGCAAAAATAACAGAACTTGAAGTGAAAGACGTGAGGTTTCCCACGTCACTGACAAGCGATGGTTCAGATGCAATGGTGAGTGGTAAACCAACCTATTTTTTCATGACATAGATTTTCCGCTGCAGCAGTTGAGAGAAAGAGGTTTATGCAAATAGACACATGCAAATACTTTCTTTATTGTTTTTAAATAGAAGGAATAAGATATCTGTGATAAGTTTTCATAATAAAATTATTTCAGTGTTTTACATATCTTGGGTGTCGCTGCTCTTGATTGCATTCAATTTTTAGAAATTAATGTAGGGTAAAAATTAAATCATCTATTTACCCACAAAATTTTAGAATTCAAATTTAATAATAAAATATTAACATTTATATTAAAAATTTCACGCACGAAACTTTATTTTTGTGAAACCTTCGAATGTGTATAAAATATTTTAGGCTCATATTCATCTTGGATACGAATAAAGCTCTTTTAATTTTCTCACCGTGAAACATTCTTAAGTTCCTCGTTTTGCATAATAAGAGATATTTATAAATAATATAATATAAGCAATTTCTGAAATCTCCAAACACATTTCTGCATATACTGTACTCGTATGGAATTGCAAAAACGTGTTAACATGATTCTGCAAATGTACAGCTATGCATTTCGTGAAGATTATACTAATGAAAGATATGTAGTACGAAGTTTCTCTGAGAGGTCCACCAGCTCCTTATTTATTTTTATTAGCAAATGTATGTATTGCATGTATCCAATGCTAAAGCTGAAAAATTTCGGAATTGCGAAATCATCCAGAGGTTTTGCATATAATCAAGGTCCAGGAGAAATCTTCGTTGATGAAAAATTGAAATTAAAAGTTTAAAGTTTTAAAAAATCATGCAAGTAAACGATAAAATACACGAAAAACGTTCTTAGTGATAACGTGAAGGCAACCAATGGAAAAGAAGAAATTTTAGTGGTCAGCGGCTTGCCAACAAACATTACGTCCAAAGGGGCGTTTTTTTTTAAAGTTTTGTGTGTTACAGGTATTTATTAAATATTATGTTCTTTGCACTTAAACCATAAAATTAAATTCAACAGCAATATCGCAAAATAATTTTAAAATTAGTATGTCTTTAGAATTTCCGATACACAGTCTCGCGCGCTGGAGATAAAATTTTTTTTTTTTTTTTTTTTTTTTTGTACACTATTGCCATTGCTCGCTTTGAAATCGTTGAGTTTCTTAATCAAAAACTCATAAATGCTTTACAAAATATGAAATAGATAATAAAAGAAATTCCAAATTTGGGCTTCCATATGTCCACATTCGGGTGGAAACGTACATTATTCAAAATTTGATGGCGCTGGGTACCGTTATTTTATGACAATGCGAGAAACATGCATACATTTATGCTGATTCTTAATTATTTAATTTCTTTAAATATAATACAGGGCTGTAATATTTGGTGGCAGCAGTTTGAAAAGTGAATCAACGCAGAAAGTGAATCAACGAAAAATGCCAAAACGAAATTAATAGCCCTTCTGGGCTAAAAATAAAATATTAAAAAATTAAATTATTGCAATGGCAAAATTCAAGTTACAACGTAAATAATTAATAAGTGTAAAACCAAACCAAGTTACAACGTAAATAATTAACAAGTGTGACCCTTTCATGAATGCAAATATTAAGAAGGAATAGCTAGAGCAAGCATGGCGGTAGCTAGACATTCCCTTCTTAAGATCAGATAAATGGAAAGGAATAGTTAATCCATGATGTCAATAAACAGGTACTACATTAGAATCAAATTACTTTCTTATCTGCAGCATCCGTACGAACACCATATGACCATATGAAGTGTAGGTCTCAACCTTATCTGAAGCAGGTTTGTATACTTTGAGGAATAAGTTTTTTAAAAACAAAATCTGCCGAGGGCTTTCTCGGGAGGTTTTGATGACATCCATTAATATGCTTGTTCTATTCGATGTGCAGTTTTTGGAAGCTGATTGCTGGAAGAAGAGGGAATTCTTCATTGAAAGACTAGATTATAGAAAGAGGTTTGAAATTTACGTTTAGAAATAGAGCTTGAGATGGAGTATCAGTCGCGGCACGAGGAGTGCAGCTTCGGACTGTTGATTTTTAGTTGTAGAGGAGATAAAGGCTTATGATTATTGCTTCCAGACAATCTAAAATAGTATTTGAAATTTACCACATGAAGATATCCACCACTGGCCCAAGTGTTCGATTTGAGAGTGGTCTTAGGTTCAGTCTTTCGCGTAATGGAGCCCATCACATTTAGGACCATTTGATGGACAGGTTTCAGACAGCAGAGCTATGGAAGAATCCTAGACAGCACCAATACTTACTAGGGACTTTATCATGGCAATGTTATCTCGAATAGATGAGTTACTTTGTAAATTTTCTAACTGTCAAGGAAATAAAGTATTATCAGGAAAGAATCATCCGACTGTAAAATTTAGTGTTTTCCATAACTACAAATAGAAAGTTAAATAATATGTCATTGTAAAGAAAAAATGTTGAATTCTTTTTTCACAAGTCTTCGATTTGAGTTAATTTAGTCACCCGTGTAATATCAATGCGATATGCCATTTATTTGCCAAATATGGTGTAATATTTCACTATTAACTGCTTGTAAAGCATCATAAATGCTTTGTTTAAGTTCGGGAAAACCTGTAGGCAAAGGTGGTATGAGCACGAGATCTTTGACATGTTCCCAAAGGAAGAAGTCACATGGGGTTAAGTCAGGTGACTTAGGAGGGTAGCTGTGTAGAATCAAATCATCGGCTGCACGGCGAAAAATCCAGTTGTGCGGTGGTTCTCTGTGTAGAAATTTACGATCCTCCATATGCCAACGGGGATTGCTGCACCATTTTGTTGCAAAATGAAATTTTGCATATCTTCCTTCAGCTGAGGGAAAAGCCAAATTTACAACATATCGAGGTAAGTAATACGATTCACTGATTCTTCAGCAAGAAAGAACGATCCATAAGCCTTTGATGAAGATACAGTACAAAAGACTTTTATTTTACGTATTCAGTGTAGGCATGGGCACAATCCCCAGATTTGCACATTATGGCAGTTTACTTTGCCACTTAAATGAAAGCTAGCTTTATTACTAAGTACGAGTTCATTGCAAAAATGTTCGTCTTGCACAGCCTCATACATGAAAAAACAGTAGGTTTCACGTTGCAATTCGTCACTAGGCCTCAGTGCTTGTTTGCTTTGCAATTTGTAAGGCTTAAAATGCAACGCTTGCTCAACTCAATCCAAAACGGTAGACCGAGGCATCCCAAGTGCACGATTAGCACGAATCGTCGATTTCTTTGGGACTATGTAAAAAGTCTCTTGCACTCTTTCAACATATCTGCTGAAACATAGGCTGCTCTGGACTTCTGCCTTACACAGGCACCCTTGTCACGCACATACATCCAGACATACACAGAGATAGTCAGACATCATTGTAAAAGTACTGTGGGGTTTGTGCGTATCCACTGCAGATTCACTGAAATTTTTGAACCAAAAAAATTACTTCCCTTAGCTATGTATATATGTTATCGAGAGGTATATATTAATAAATGATTATGAATAATAAAAAAATCATTTTCACTGTTTAGCACACGAAAAATAACTATTCATTGCTAGTATTTACCAGTGCGTTGAATATATTGTTATACCTAATGAATACTAAATGTATCAGTTTTATTTGTTTCAGCATGTTGATCCTGACTATTCTTGCGCCTATGTGATTCTTTCAACATCAGACGGCTGGAAGGGATATGGACTTACTTTTACCATTGGAAAGGGGACAGAAGTAGGTTCGTAGTTTTTCAAAATGTTTATTATTTTTGCTCTTTAAAATTTCATGCAGACTATTCAGAATTTGTCAGTGCAGCTTAATATGTTTTACACTCATGTCCATAAATTAAGGATAATGCAAAATCAGGCAAAGGAAGAGTTAGAAGCAAAACAAATCTGACTTATTTGTAAAGCTTATTTATTAAACAAAAGGTAAAGATCAAAAAAAGATGCTATGTGTTTGATATTATTAAAAATTAGCGATTTTTCTCCCTGAGCAAATTACAAAAAACCCTATTTACAGAAAACCAATATTACATGTTGGTATGATGTTAATACATTGTATGTCTCCCATACGATGCAATACAGTCCGTACAACGCCTAAGCATGTGAGTATCAAATTATCGATCTGATCTGGGGGATATTACACCATCAAAAAGCAATGCTCTCCGAAGTTCCGATAGACATGCAGGAGGAGGTTGGGGGCTGCAACTCGTCGGCCAAAGCATGTCCCACACGTGTCTATGGATTGAAGTCCGGTGAGAACGCTGCCAGTCCATACGGGTGATATCCTCGATTGAAGGCATCGCTTGCGATGTTGCACGGTGAGGACGGGCGTTGTCATCCATAAACACAAATTGTGCACCCATGGCGCCCCGAAACAAACGTACATGTTGTTTCAGAATGACGTCCCGATAGATTTGGCTTGTCATGGTTCCAATTTGAACATGCAGGTCAGTTCTGAAACCCAAATATTCCACCCAAACGAGCACTCCTGCACCACCGTAACGGTGTCGTCAGTGATGTTTTCTGGTGGTAACGGGTATCTGGGAGCTCTCATAGAAAGTCCGGCTAGAATCAGACTATAAGCTAAACCTGGACACGTCGGAAAAACATCACACAAGCCCTGTTGCGGTGTTCCACAATGCATGCTCCTACTCCAGGCTAACCGCAGGCGACAGTGAGTTTTGCAGTAAGTGGAACGCATCTGAAGGTATACGAGCATATAGACCAATCTGTCCTAAGCGTTGTACACGGTCTGCCTTGAAATTGTCGTACCAGTGGCTGAAGAGAGCTGACGAGACAGGTCTGAGGCTGTGCTCCGCCTGTTTCTTTTGGCAGTAACTGCCAAATACTGGTCCTCATTCGGCGTTTGTACTCTGGGGCGACCTGTGCTGAACGTCTACTCACATTACCATCATCTTGGATCATTGCCAAAGCCTGGAGATGACACTCTGGGCAATTCCAAGTTCGTCTGACTTCCAGTTGGGTACGCCGATTCTAGACGACCGATAATTCTACCACGTAAAAAATCATCCAAATGCGTCCTTTGTGTCATAACTATTCGGGTATTTGCACTGAAATGCTTATAAAGCGCCTGCGAACAATTTTACTTCTTTGCCTGTATTCCTTATATATCACTTCTTACACTCTCGTCATTGTGACGTACCATCGGTGTCATCTGGTTACTTCCTGAAAATTTGCATATGATTCTTGAAGATGTGTGTAGTGATTTTACAGGTGTATATTTATTTTAGAGTTCGATTTCCGCGTGATTCCGAATTATTCTTAATTTATGGACATGAGTGTATTTCAACCAGTTCAACAATTTTTCCCATGTTAAAGTATAGAATTTTAATGCAGTTTTTGATTACAAATAAGACTCTCAGATAATGTTTAATTTGCTATGTGTCATGTGAAAATCGGGTTAAAAGAAATCACAGAGTAATACAGATTAAAGGAATGCGTTTTGCGTAAAAATAAACCGCATTTTTAAAAATTTGAAACCATGAAAAATCTGAGCGGAAAGTTAACATACTTAATGAAAAAAATTATTAATTACGTAATTATCCAGTTAATTAATTGTTAATGAAATATTACTTATGAAACTTATACTTAATGAAATAACGTTTCATAAAATGTATGCTTAAAGATTGGTTTTATTAGACTTTTGTTTCTTGTTACATTGAAACAATTTGTTTATTATTAAAGAATGAAAGTTTTTTTTAAGGAAAATTGAGTAAACGGTTAATTTACTAATAGTATTATGATATTCAGCATAAGATTATGAATAAATATATGAGCACAAAAACGAATTTCATTAGCTTCTAAGGTATTTTCTTCCTTCTTCCAGCATGTCTTCGCGGTGTAACGGTAGCGCACTCGGCACATATTTGAGATGTCCAGGTTCGAGTCCCGGCGAGGGCATTGCATATTTTTCACTTCTCCTGCTTCAAAAAATTCTAATGACTCTACAGTGGCGCCCGAACTAAAAGGTAGTGGACAATATTTCATCACCATCAAGATTTGGCGATATGAGTACCCTATTTCTCAGTCGCCCTTTAAAAGGGAAAGTATATAAGGTATTTTGTCCTTTCTTCCAGAAGGCCCTCGTGGTGCAGCAGTTACACTCTCGGTGCTTATTCGAGAGGTCCAGTTTCCTGTACCGGCGAGGGCATTGCACGTTCTTCATTTCTTCTGCTTCAAAAATCCTAATGACTGTACAAGCTTGGCAACTTAGTTTTCTCAAATGCTGAACTGGATCATTTTCAAATAAACCGCACGTCACGATAAAAGATGAAATACTGGTTATCAGAAAAATTTTAAATCTCTGTTTAGTAGACAAAACGTTATGAATAACGAAAGGAAACATTGCATGAAAGCACAAATATTCGTACATATATAAGCAGCATATATTCGTACATATAAGCAGCATATATTCGTACATATTTCATATAGCATTAATAGCTATACGAAAAATTTTAAAAAGTAATGTTACGAATTTTGTGCAGTGTAACACGAATGGCCTCAAGCAATGCGCAACTTTGCAGGAAAAATAAAAGTACAGGGGCAAGTCTATTTAAGGTTTATGACTATCTGGCTGAATTGGCGTGATATCGCCAGGCTTTCAATGGTTTTTGGCGACTAATTTTTGCCGCCAAATTTTGCGATAAATAAGCAAAAGTCCCCAAACATGGTGACCATTTGACGACGTTTGGCTCCGGTCCTTGTAGTTATAACTGCACTTGGGCTAAATACCAATGTAACTGAACAGTATACGGCCCTTATATGTAATTGAAACCGCATATGCCTTCCAGTTATTTCGAGAAATGGAAGGTACTGGAAATTTCTCTTTTCTTTTTTCCATTTCCTTTCTCCCATTTTCTATTTCCTTTTCCTTTCCCCCCTATTTCTTTTTTCCCCATTCTTTCCTTCTGTTGCTGGAAAAAAAAACTAAAAACTTACAAACTACTACAAAAAGACCTGAAGATAGTCAAAGACCTAAATCTCCAAAGAAACAAAAATAAACAATATAATTTCTATAAATATTGTTTTTTTCACTATTTATTCATAATTCTGCTTCTTGAAAGATTGATTTTTAATTAAAAAATAAGAGATAATTACAAAAAAAAAAAAAAAAAACCACCTAAAAAAAACCCTAAAAAAAAAAAAAAAAACAACCAAAAAAAAAAAAACCACTATATTTACCAAACAAAAATTAAAAAAACAAAACAAAACCCCAATCTTTTTTTCAGACGAAAAAGTTTGCAAGAAATTTCTTCATTCCAGTTCAGTTAAAAAAGAAAAAAAAAGGAGAAAAAGAGCTCTTCTTTTCTCCCCCATTTTTTAAATATCCGGACAGAAACAACAGACCATAATTTTTTTTTAGTTTTCCAATTCATCCATTCAATTGCCCCCTTGTTTCAATATAATTTCAAAAATTTTCATTCAATAATAATCAATGCCCTTCCTATTTTTTTTTTTTCCTCTCCCCCTTTTTCTTTTCTTTTTTTTTTTTTTTCCTTTGGGATTGCTGAATTTCATCAAAAAATTGGATCAATTTGGTCCAAAATATTGTTGCCCTTATTTCTTTTTTTATTCACTTTTTTTTTTTCTTCCTTTTTTTTTTTTTTTTTTTTTTTTTTTCCTTTTTCGTTGTTAGTTAAATATAGAATGTTGGATAGGAATTACATTTCTTCCATTTCAAAATATTCAAATTGCCCCTTTTTTTTTTTCGGCCCTTTTTCATCATTGCCCTTATTCTTTGGGTCAATTGGCCCTTTTTGGAATCATCCAAATTGGCCCTTTTCTTTGCACCTTATTTTTTTTTTTTTTTCATTTTTTCCTTTTTGTTTCTTTGATTCCCGTTTCTTTTTTTAAACAAACTTTTTGGCCCTTTTTTTCTTGTTTTCCTTCCCAATTTGCCCTTTTGGTAGTTTCCGACATTCTTCTTGATTTTTTGTGCCCGTTTTCCCCCCCATGGGGGGGGGGGGCATGAAGATTACAGTCTAGGGCACTGAATACTGCAAAGTTAATTTATGCTACAATAAGATCAAAAAACTGACCATAAAAATTCAAAATTAAAAATAAAATTTCAATCCCTTGGAGGGCGGTTCCATTCAACAAACCTCGCCCAGGAAACCTGAAGAATTATTCGAACCTGGAATAAATGGACCGTCAAGCTACTTAAAAAAAAAACCACTTTAATAACCAGATACTTAACAATTGAAGGCAGTTCGTATATACGAGGAAGTTTTCCAAAAGTTCTCTGAAAAATTCCAAGTTATAAAATTTTTTAATTTTAATTATTTTTTCATATTTACTTTTTCGTCCATTATTCAAAATTGTTCCATTCCATCAGTAATTACAAACAATGCAGGTTTTCCCAACGTAATAAAAACCAACTTTTAAGTGAATAATGCAATTTTTTACCACAAAGAAAAAACCTAATTTTCCTCTCCTCCTAATTTTTCCCTTATTTTCTTTCTAAGAAAAAAACTAAAACTAATTTTAATTTTCTTATCCTTACTTTCTTAAAGAGGTATAAACAAAAGGCCGTCCCCTCAAAGTAGTTGTCCCCCCATCCCTAAAATAAATCAAAAAAAAAAAAAAATACTCCTAAATAATAATAAATAAATAAAAACCTAAATACTCCCCTCCTCAAATCCGCCTACTTTATGCAATGGTTTTTAAAAACCCAACCAACCCATTAAAAAATTTAATTTTTAAACTCTTAACA